ATCGGGTGGCAGCTCCCAAGGGGGTTTCTGTGATCCAACCCGTCACACATGGGATCAGTAACGACTCCCGCAGAGCAGATAAGAGCTTGGATCTTAAGGGCTCACCTGAAAGATGGTCACAGCAGGCTACATGGAATAGTTTATCTACTGTACCTGAGAAGATGATTTTATGACTCCAGGGAATCTGAACTGAAGCCATATCTTGAGGCATATACCTCCTCTCCCAAAATATACATTAATACCCTCCCCCAGCATAGACATATTCATGGAATAGAAAACTTTCCCCTCACGTCACCAGCACAAGGAGAAAAGGTGCTGTGAGGCTGGAATGCTGCCATTGTGTTATCTCTGCTAGTAAATATTTGTTTGAAAGAGAGTGACTCAATGAATCCTGGGTGGGGGCCTTATCAATCAGATCAATTCGGCATGGACAAAGTCTAAATTTTTTCCTTCGGTAAATATGCATTTTTTTAAACTGATGTGTGTGTTTCCAACATCCTTTTGATGGTTGTTCTATGTGAAAAAGTATTCCAAAGTAAAATAAAGTTACACTGATCCAGTCTATCAAAAATGTAAATTGAGCGTACAAAACCCACATTCACATCTGTAATGTGTCAGATTAATTAAATTGATCCTGATATAATGAATTAGTCTTTATTCAGGCGAAGTTTCCACTGACTTAAATGAGTGTTACTTGAGAAAGGATTTCAGGATTGGGCTCTTTGTGATGGTCTTTCAAGGTCATGGAGAAACAAAAGTTAAATTATGTTCTATATTTCATCCAAAAAATGACATGAGAACATTAAGGTTGCATAGCAAAGCTCTCCACAGTTAGGAAATGCCAAAGTTAAGATTGAACGTTCAACTTTAATTCTATCATCTTGTGTTGTATGCATTACAGTATGGGGCTAGTTCCACAAGAGGAGATAGGTGCCAACATCGAGGCACCATGGGGATCCTCAAAATTCTTGCTCAGCTGCTGCCATCTAACCTTGGAGGCACCTTAAGTTCCTACATATCTATATTTCCACTGTTAAATTCCCAAGTCACTTAATTTTCTGCTAGTGAGCATACCCACAGCTGCCTCAGGCACCGTGTGCTTAGACTATCTCACACTTAAGCCCCAGTGGGATACTCAAATTAGGCATCTGTCTATCTACCCTGTGGGATGCAACACAGTATGCATAATCAGAGCATGCCTGACCCCACATAAAACAGCCAGGCTGGGGGAGGAGATGGCAGCCTCCCTTATAACCTTTAGCCAAGTGGTTGAGGAACTCACCCAGGATGTGGGAGACCCAGACTCATTTCCCTCCTCTGCCTGATGTGGAGAAGGGATTTAAACTTGGGGTGTTCCTCTAGTTAGCTGAGTGCCCCAACCACTGGACTATAGAGTCAGTCTGACATGCTCTCTGACCCAATACATAGTTAATTATGTATACAACGTGGTATAACTTTAACAGGGGAAACGGAGAGAGAGACACTCAGCCAGTGGTTAGGGCACTCTCCTGAGAAGTGGAAGACCCAAGTTCATATCTATTCTCCATAGCAGGTAGATGGGGGAATTGAACCTGGATTTCCCACCTGCTGGTTGAGGGTCCTAACTACTGGGCTAAAGATAAGAGGACTACTGCTGCTACTGCCTCCTGCCCCCAACATTTCATGTAAAAAACAACTGAGGTGCCTAACTCCAGGAGAAGATTCACAGCTGAGAATCCCAGCAGAGATAGGCACCCAGCTCCTTGCAAGGCTAGGGCTTAGCGCGCTCCCCTTTCCTTGGCATTTCCTATTGGCTAACTTGGCAGCACCCTGCTCATCATGTTGGTTTTTGTGGATCCTATTCTGAGGCACCCAACTCTCCCCATGCATTATATAGGAAGCCTAGGTGCTTAACTTAGGTCTGTGGATTGCACTGGGTGACAAGGCACCTACAAGCTAGGCATTGCAGTGCTAAGCACTGCAATAACTAAGTCCCTTTGTGATTCTAGCCCATAGTCCTTAATTATGTGTTCACAGTTATATATGTGAATGTCAGCTGTGACCGCTGAATTTTCAGCTTACACTGGGTCAGTGTAAACTAGAGTATTTCTTCACTTTAGAAAACAATCAAAATGATATTAAAATGAAGAACCACATGTTTATTTGAGAATTAATTAAAGGCTGTATATTGTTATCATGATGCATATGCACAAGGAACTGGAATTTCCTGACTTTGAGAGACCATTTTTAATATAGTTTTCAGGTATGAAATTGCCTTGGAGGGGTGGGTAGTAAATAAAAAATATGGAAAATAGAAAAAATACTAAAAGAAGGAACTTCAATCTCCAGGACATTAAAGCTCTGCTGGTTTGCAAAATTGACAATAGCATGTGTATATGCTATAAACTGGAATCTATAAACTCTATCGCTCACATTTGAGGAGGTCGGCAAGAATGAGGCCTTCACCTGCAAATCGTATGAAGTGCAGAGCACCTACATGCACATCTACAAAGGGTACAGTAGCTGTCTCTAATCTCTTACAGTTTACGAGGTCTGGAGGGACTGAACCAAGAACTCTGTGGAAGTATTTCCTCACCCCACATGTCTACCTGCAGTATTCCTTTCACATACTCTAAGTTAGGCATGCATACATACAGAACACAGCCTTCCTTAGTTGCCCATGCTGAACTTAGCAAAAAAAAATTCAATTGCTCCGCATGCAATTTTCAAAGTATCATAACTTGATCGAATCATAACCAGATTTCACCAGAACACTCAAAAGCTCTTCTCCTCAATGACAGCTGTTTCTCTGACAAATTTTAATGTTTTACCCCAGTCAGAAGAGTTACAACCATTTTTTTTATAATGGAAAAAGAATATTACACACACACACACACACACTCTCTCTCTCTTCTCTTATTCAACCATTATTACTTACACTTTCAAAAGAAAAGACAAAAAAATCACCTTTGCACAGAGATGAAGTCTGGGGAATTTTAACCTAAAATGTAAACTTTTTTGAAAGTTGCGACTGAAAACGAGGTGTTAGACTGGGAACTGTGATGCACACCTTAATGAGAGCAATCATATCAGTTATCTAGGATCACAATTAGTGCCACATTTAGGGCCCAACACTTTAGTCCTTAATTAGGCTGCTTTAAGGTGAGTTTTTCATGTATAAAGATACACATTATGCCCTGCTCATTTTTTACTGTTTCTGATGTTATTCCTGCTAAGCCTTTTGTATGGAAAGTCTTTTTTCATAGTTATTAGGAAGCATATAAAAAAAATAAAATGTCCTTTCCACAATGAGTTAGCTAAAATTTTTAAGAATTGCCTAATTGATTGACAAAGATTAAAGTCAATGGTACTTAGGCTCCTAAGTAACATAGGCACATCTGAAAATCATACTGTTTTACTTTTCTAACCTTACTTTTGATAGTATTAAATCTCCATCAGGTGACAAAATGTAAACTGGAACATCTACTGAAACAGTAGGTTATCCATCCACTGTAAATCTTGCGTGTCATACAAAGGTTCAGGAATCTTCAGCTATTAGTCCTAATCAAAGGATTTGTCAGTCATCTTCAGTTTATCAAAAGTGAAGGGAAAGTGACGTTTTAATGGTAAACTCATCAATGTATAAAAAGTAAAGTATGAACTCGTGACACAAAAACATCTGAGTCACTTACCAGAAGTCACGTATACAAACTGAAGACATACTGTGCATCTGTTTTCATGTTATTAATGGCAGAAGATGCTATGTTGTTTTTCATAATTTTATTATGGTAACTATTACAATGTGGAACATATTTCTTTAAGGAGACCCTCCAGGGAGCTCTTCAAAATGTCTGAATTGACAGTACATTAACATCTATCGTAAATATTTTGACAGTTGTGTCAAAAGGGAAATTTCTTGTTCCAAAGGAATGTCAGGAACTTGAGCTGAAGGTCTTTTAGATTTATTTAGTGCACCCTATATCCTGGGAAAGAAAGCATGAATGAACAACCACACGAATTAGGCAGTGGATTTCAATCTCAGTTTTGATTCCAGCTTTGTTTTGTCTCCGGAGTGGGAGTTGTACTTTCTGAAGTTATGAAAATTAAACCAAGAATTGACAAGAAGTTACCAGCCACTCTCACTGGCTATTATATCCTGATATCCCAGGTAGTATATTTGGCTGCACTCAAAAGGCAATCCTCTAACCACATCTGTGATTAAACGAAGAGTGGATTCATTTTGCAAAGAAAGCGAATAGAATCAGATAACATAGTGCTGCATAAATCAGGCCTTTTAATAATATGAGCTCTGGTGGGGATTTTTGTTTTATTTGGGATTTTTGTTTTTTAATATGTGAAGAATCCCAAATCAAACTGCTCTCCGAGGAAAGCTTACCCCCCCCCCATCCCTTAAATGGTATTTGCTCTGTTCATCTGTCTGTATGGTGTCTTTTTGGGGACTTTCCGTAACAGGGATTGCTTTATCCTATTGATGGATAGTTTTGTATGTGACGATTTTGTAATCTCTGCTACTTACTTTTAAATAGTTGCTATTTGTGTAATTATTTAAAAGGAATAATTTAAATTAATTGGAAAAATAAAGGGAGACAGGTCCTTTATAACTGTATGGCTTTGATGTCTGCCTGTCTGGTTTGTTGAGAATGGGTAACATTGAAATGGATCCACCACTAAAAAAAAGTTAGTTTAGAAGGACATCGACAATTAAATAAATTAAATTTTTACACAGTTAACAGACACATTTGTACTTCAGACACAGGATTAATTTTACCACCAAATCTAATCCTGAATGTCACACTGAATCCTTGGGGCTTAGAAGCTGCCATTGCATAATAATTATATGACTAAAATACTTCTGATTATTATTGCACTGAATTTTGCACTTCCTTGTTATCTTCAGGAGGGGAAAATGCATCTCTGGAATGGCCAGTATATTATAGGTCACCAAAGCAGTTTACATATGTCTAATACTCCTGAAACAAAATGATTGGCAGTAAAGAACACCTTATTTAAAAGGTATAATTTTTTCTATTGTTCCTTGATCAGCATTTTAAAAATCAGATGACAAAAGTGTTCTAAACTGCAAATATCTTAATAGAGCACAGTTAATTTTTGTGTAGACTGATACTGTAAAATCCACAAGATTTTAGAGAACTGAATAAAATACTTACATACAGTAGTTCTGGAGAGAATGCCCTCTCTTCCTAGAGTGGGTCTGTGAGGATGCAGCAGTTACTTCAACTTTCTGATTTCCAGCTGGAGCAAACTGGGCCTTTTCCCTATTTATCAGTTTCTTTGCATACACTTAGGCTCCAGACACTCTGCAGACCAACGCTTCAGCCTATCTGAGACACAAACTTCCCACACAGCCCTTCCTAGGGTCAAAGCAAGGGCAGCTGCAAGTCCACATAAATCAAATAATAACTGTATCATCAGGGACAGAGGCCACTGGGAGTCTCACGTCATATTTTCCCAGAGTTCTCTCTAGGCAGCTTACTAAATATTTTGCTTTCTTGATAGAGT